ATTAGTATAAATGATATTTTGGATGAATTAATGGCTGAAAACAAACGACTTTTACATGAAATCAAGTGTTTATTTGAATTGAAAACACATTTAATTAAAATTTACTCAAAATATGAAACACTTATCGATTGTGAAGACAAACAATACTTCAGACAATTGTCTCTACGTTTGGATCAATTGAGTGACAAACAAACTGAAGATACAAATGAATCACAAGAAGTGAGACAAACTCGTGGCCATAAGAAGAGACAAATATCAGAAGAAATAGTGAAACAAACGGTTCAAACAAATGGATCTCAAAATTCAAGACCAAAGAGAGTCTATAAGAAGACGAAGACATCACAAGAAGTAGTGAAACGAGAAGACAATGATTTCGGGGAAGAAGTGGTGACTAATGAAGGCTCGGATGAGAGGAAGACATCGACGACAGACACAGACTTCAAGAGTATTAAAGACAAGACATGTTATGAACGGCTGAACCGAAAGCCAAACCGAGTCTTCAAATTAAAGGCAATTCAATGCGTTTACAAAGACTGTGACTATAAGTGCCGATCGGACGCCAATCTGGCCTCTCATATGAAATCACACGACAATCCGAAGACCGAAGCCTATAGACAGCAACGGCTATCACTTCACCGCCGGTGCTATGATTTGGTGACCAATTCATACATCTGTGACGATATCTCGTGCGGGAAGTCATTCAAGAGTTATCGCCGACTGAGAGCGCACACCATTAACGTCCACTCGAGCCGTGATGTCAGCTGTGATTATCCCGATTGTCACAAAATGTTCAAAACTTCATACGTAATGAAGGATCACTACAAGCAGTTCCACACGACAGACAAACCGCTGAAGTGTCCGCACATGAGTTGCGGCCAAAGCTATTTAAATAGGAGCCAATTGGAGGCACACGTTGTCCGTCACGCCACTGATCGGCCATTTGTATGCGATTTCATTGGTTGTGACATAAAATTTAAGTCAGAAGCGTGTCTGAAGTCTCACCAACGGATCCATTCAAGTGCGCTGACCATTAAGTGCACTGTCGAGGGCTGTTCGCAACGGTTTCAAGTGTATCATCACATGAATAGACACCGTGTAATCGACCATCACTTTAGGCGCCGTAAGCAACTGCGAAAAGCTGTCAAAGACATTACCTGTCAGTGGCCGGGATGTGATTACAAAGTGTGCGATCGCTGGAAACTTAGACTTCACCAGAACATACACACCGATGAGCGGCCGTATGTCTGCGATTGGCCCGAATGTGGCAAACGGTTCCGCCGACCGACCGCTTTGAGAGATCACAAGAATATACACAACAATGTGAAGCCATACGCCTGCCATTGGCCCGGATGTCAGTACCGGTGCTGTAATAGCGGTAATGCACGCAAACATTTTAAGCTCGTTCATCAAAAGTGATAGCATTTAAAATAATTATTTATTTACTTTTTATAAATTGAAATTTAAAGTGACATCAATTTGATAATCACTTCCATTGTAATCATACTTGTATTTTATAAATAAAACTCACTTTATATTAGAAATATTGTGTTTTAAATTGAAATAAAGTTAATATTTTTTGTGATAGAAATAAATAGAATTTAAATTGCATCATCAAATTGACCATGGATTAATTAACTACATATGAATTGCATTTATTTGCTTTAATGTTATAAATTTAAATTGTTTTGACAGTTAAACACTTAGACTTAATTTTATGTTTTTATTGTGGTAATAAATTTATTTATTTATGTAAGTAATGAATAATAACTTATAGTTTAACACCAAATTAAAATGTTTGACACAAAATGCAATTATTAACACAATTAAACGCGTATAATTGGTGAAGAGTTAATGTGTTATCTGTGACTCTCCAACCAATGTCTTTTATATTCCTCGTGTTCGGCCAAGTCTTCTAGTAGTTCCCGGCGATGAAGTACACCAACGATGAGCACAAGTATACAACAGATTGAGGCCAATGTAATGAGCGTTGAGAACACTATATCACTCGGTCTGTAAAACGATTTGTACATCCATTCGGTCGTATCGTTGGGTGGAAACGGTATGACCACAACCTGAGCGTCGGGTACTATTTGATACAATTCCCGACTCCGTCCCGACGGCACGGCCGCAGTGACCAGCTCTACAAAGTTGGAAATCTTTCCCAAACCAAACACCGAATACGGCATTTGGAGGGCCAGGTGTGCCGATTGGGACAGTTGTCCGGCGCAACCCCATCGCCAATCGCCCTCCAGACTCTGCCGCTTATAACATACGGTACATCCCATTTGATTAGTGCCGTACGCGATGTTACCACGTGGACAGTCGCGCCCATAACACCGGCCACTAGTGACCAGCACTTTGAGAAAACACTCGCCGCTCATCTGCGGGTTGAGCACCGCTTCCACGCGTCGGATGTCTCGAGTGGTTCCCGCGAAAGCGATCACCACTTTAGTGGTCATCAAGATATCAATCTTTCCGTCTTCGAAGAGGTCCACAAAAGCGGCAATTTCTACGTCAACGTCGGCCCGACTCACGTCCGACTTATCGTTCATCCAATCGATGATAAACTTACGGCCAAACTTATTGTCGCCGTCGATGTTCTTCAGCACAACTGCTTTTAACTGTGTCTTATCGTCCATAACAGTGATTAGGTCTGGAAATCCGTCGCCATTGATGTCGCCGTGTCTTACAGTGATTGGAAGTGTTTGTCCCAAAGACGACACCTCCGCGAATGTAAGCCCAGCATAACTGCCGGTATTGAAGTCAGAGATAACAATCCATTCATTGGTCTCTATATGAAAGGCTAGTATTTGTGGATCTTTGCAGATGTCTTCAGGTTTCAAGACATTGCCACAAACGGGCAAAATGTGGTCAATTAGTCCATCGGTGTTGATGTCGACAAACGCCGATTGACCGAAATGTTTATATAACTTGTCGTTCGGGTAGTCATAGACTTTCATGCGCTCAGAATCGGATGAGAAGCCATTATTGTTGTGCCAGTACTCCATCTTATCTAATCCGCTGATGAAGATGTCTGCTGTCAAGTCTGTGTCGTGATCATCAAGATTTATAAAGGCGTTTGAATGTGGGAAACGCCACTCTTGAGGCAATTTAGGCTTCAGCTCTTCGGGACAACGGGTCTCAAACGCAGAGGACTCCGAACTCCGAGTCCAGAGTTGTTGCCGACATGTGTTGGTCTCGACAATAAAGTCTGCGATCATATCTGCGTTATAGTCCAACACCAATGGATGACTCTTCACGCCAGAGACCAGCGGTTCCGATGTGTCCACACAATCAAGTGATGTTACGTTACCCTCAAATAGCCATATATTGAATAATTGTTGTTTGGATTGATTGAACGTAACGACCATCACATCCATCATCGCTCGGCCGCTGAAGTCGGCGGGGATTACGCCAACGATTGTCTCATCGGTGGCACCGAATGAACAGTTAATTGATGGCCATATTCTGAGCGCCGGTTCCGTGGGATAGCCTTTAAGCAATTCAAACGACTGGCCGTTTTCGGTGATAACGAAGACATCCGTCAATTTGTCGGAATCAAAGTCACCAAAACTGGCGATCAATCCATTGATATCTTCTACAATATGTTTCTCCTCTGATTCGCAATGAATTGATTGAATAATTATTGTTAATAAACACAAAATCATACAAATTGTTGCCATTTTTACATTTATTTAATGTACAAACAATTAACTTATCATTTCATAAATCTATTTTTAAATAACCACATAATTAACACATTTTTAAATACAATTAACTAATAATATTTGAATGAATGTTAAACAAAATGAGAGGACATTTTAATTGAATTGTCAATTAATCACAACTTTTGTTATCACTTATCAGACCAGTGTATTTAGATTAAACAATATTACCTAGGTGATTAAGAAATTATTGCTTGTGTAATATTAATACTAATAAATGTGATTTATTTTATAACATTTCACTTATTATTATATAAAGGAGGAAACATGTTATAAGTTTCTATAAGTTTATATTAAGTTAACTTATTAAGCAAATTATTAAAAACTATTTTAATTACAGAAGTAATAAAGTAAAATTAATAATTAGTTTAATTGAAAGTAAAGTAAACACAGATTAAGTAAAATACAAATAGTGTATTAATTTTATTAAATACTAGCCCAGATTCAGTCTGATGTAGATAAATTACAGTGTAATAAAACCATATATTGCACTATCAAAATATAAACACTTATAATTTGAAAAATTGAATTAACTTTTTTAACCTTAACCATAATATATAACTACCTAGTACTATTATTCAGCAGTGATCTATGTGAACAAACGGCATTTAGTAACTATTATTCCCAACTTAAAATGCATTACAAATAGTTGCATGTTGTTACATGTATTTTCACACTCATAGGAATTTTAACTAAAACTTGTACAAATTAGTTGATTTGAGATTTTGATAATGGTCAATTTATTAGAATGCAATTTAATATAACAAAGTATTAACAAATATATTTTAATAATACATATTAAATGACAAAAGGACTTTTTGGGCTATCATACACTTAATCATGATTATTTGATAGGTTAACCATTTACAGCGCTGTTTGTTGTACCATGGTACTTTATGTTTATAGTCCTTTTATAC